TCTTTCATTGAGCCCTCTTCCTATAGGCCCAGTGATTTAGACCCCTGATTTTAGGCAAATTTCTTTGAATTTGATCTCTTATTCTTCCTCGGACTGTTGTATATAAACATAAGATTTTTGGCAGGAAAGATATTTTTTAATTTAAATAATATTTTTTATTGAATATTTTGATCAATTAAATTATAATTTGTAATAAAAAATTTTATTAAAAATATTAATAATTTATTTAATCAAATTATGAAATAGATATAAGTATTTTTTTTTTTATTGCTTTAAGTTTAAAGGATAATTTAATCAATCCTAAGATTAAATAATGTTCACTTCATGATATTCTTTTATTTAATTTCTTCGAACATACATATTGTGTACCATAGCAGTATCAATTATAATATTAAACTATTGCTATCCAAAATGTATAATAATAAGTAATTTTTTCTAATTGTTAATTTAACTTTTAAAATTATTACTAATTATAGTACTAATTATAATTTGTATTAATATTTCACAAATTATTTTTGATATAATATTATCAATTTAGTTAAATCCTAATTTAATTAAATCATTCTTCAGAAATTAAAATAAGAAATAATCAAAAAGAACTTAAACATTAATAATTTTAGATTAAAGTAATTTGGAATATTTTTATTAATATTATGTTAATCCATCCATTTATTCTTCTCTATTCATTCTTGATAATTCAACTCCTCTCTTAAATTTAAATAATAATTTATACTATTTTTTCAATCCTTACTCAATATTCCATTTTTCTCTCTTTAATTCTATCCATTTTCAAATCTTTTTACCTTCTCTATATTGTCCCTAATGAATGATTTATTTGGAGCTATTATTATTATTCATTTTAACAATTTTAATTCATTTTGAAATCTTCATCCAACTCTATCTAAATTCCATTCTCAATTCCTTCTTAATCATAAAATCCACAACTTCTAAAATTAAAAGAATATACTATTGATATTTACATTTCTTTAAATCTTTCAGAAAATCTAAAATAAGTATCCCATACACCAACTTTTTATCCACAATTATATTCCCCTTAATAAGAGACCTATTTATCTCTAATATTGATATTATAAATATATATTAATTACTAATTGAAATCATTAGCCAATTCGATCCAAATCCTCTTCTTTAAACCATTATCATCATATAATCCACCACCTCTAATAAAAAAATTAAATCATAATTTATTTTGGTACAATTTTTCCAAGTTTATATTATTCTTCCAATAGCTATTCCATTTACCAGTTTTCTTACCAAAAAAATATTCTCCTTAATATAGAACTTAACCTAAACTAAAAAGATGATAAAATATTTATTAAATTACTTAGAAGAAAACTTGTTAATTTCAACCCAACTTCCAATTTTAAAACCTTGCTCATTATAAAAATCACCTTTTCTAAAAATTATATAGTTAATTAATAAATTAAACTACATTTATTCAAATTTATTAGACTTCCTAAGAATGATATCCCATTTATCTATTTTTCTTCCTTATTTATACTAAGAATGACAAGTGATTTAGCTATCCCTATTTAATGATATCATTATTTTTAATACTATCTTATCTAAAATCATCACTTAACTCAATCCAATATCCTTGCTTACTACCTTTAACATCATAATATCCGCCACCACTAAATATCAGATTAATAAATAATTAATTTAGTACATTTATTCTAATTAATCTTTTTATTTATATTTGGTAACCCATGACTTTATTTTTTTTCCATTTTAATAACTATATAATTAAAATAGTAAACAATTTAATTACTTATAAAAATTATCACTTTGCTCAATCCATCTACCATTCTTAATACTCCCGTACTCATTGAATCCACCGCCACTAAATTTAAAAATAAATAATAACATAATTTACATTAATGAAAATTCCCTTTAAAATAGACCCTCAATTCTAAAATAAGTATCCCATCTACCAACTTTTCGATAATTTAATATTCTCCATTAAATGTAACTTATTTTTAACTAAATAATTATGAATAATCTTTATTGTTTTATAACGATAGAAATTATCAATTAAATCTATCCATTTGCCATCCTTAATCCCTTACATGTTGTATGATCCACTACCACTATATTAAAATTGATATAAATAAATTTATACATCTATTCAAATGGATAAACACTAGAAAATCTGTAATTAATATCCCATTTATCAATTCTTTTGTTATTTTTATATTGACCACTATAAGTGATATAAGAATTACTAAATATTAAAGATATCCAATACTTTGAAAAATTGTCACTTAATTCAATCCATCTACCATTCTTTAAATATTTATCATCATATTTTCCACCACCTCTATAAATGATATTTAAATTTCATAATACATTTCCTGATCTTCATATTCATATTTCCATGTTTCAGTTCTTTAACCATCTTAATACTCTCCAACTTAATAAGCTTGTGATAAGCTAACAATATTCTTTTATGTTTACGTCCAATAATTCTATATCTGTTCTTTCCAGAAGCCTTACTTTAATCCATAAGAGTACTATCCACCAATATCTTGTAAGACTTTGCCTTTCCAAGTTACTGCCCATCTACCAAGTTAATTTAAATTAGGTTATTATATTTCAAACCAAAATAGATATTTGATCTATTCTAAGTTATTTAATATTTAAGTAAATTTTTCTAATGAATCTCTTAATTAGAATTCATAATAATCAATACACTCTTAAACTCATCATTAGTTGAGTATTTTATTCTCTTATTTTTTGTTTATGCAATATAGAATTTAACTTAGAAATATCTGTTCCAATAGTAATCCCATAGTATACCAAGTTATTCAAATTTGCCATTTTAAAAAATATCAGGATTTATCTAAATCCAAGTTATTGTATGTTAGGTTTGATCTTTAAATAAATTCAATATTATTAGCTTTTAATTTATTTTATTCATAGTTTTTTTTTTTAATTACTTTAATCAATTTTATGAATTTTGTTAAGTTTTAAAATAAAGTATCATAATTTAAAATTAAAAATAATAGGGAACTTAACATTAGACTATGTAAAATGTTGAAAACGAGTAATCAATTAAGAAATTACTAATTTTAAATATAAAATCTATACTTCATTTAAAAATTAGATAAATGGATATTAATAATTAATTTCCTTTCAAATTAATTAATCGGAGATGAACCCTTCCTAATATTTTAATAATTTACTAAAAGACATTCAAATTAACAGAATTTAGATATAAAGCTTCAAACTGAGCTAATAAATTTGAATATTAATTGTAAAATTATAGATTTAGGAATGCATAGATGAGATAGTTCAATTATAGATCATTCATAAATAATTATTTACCTAGATTAGAATTGTAATTTATTTAGAACATTTTTTAATTAGTGTATGCATTCATTAGTCTCAAAATATGTTACATTTCATTTGAACATTTTTAGAAAGAAATTCAACAATCTCAGTTCAGAGAAAACTGGAAGATATCTTTATAAATAACCTGAAAATGTTATGAATTAAAATGAGACTTAAATTAATAACATAGAATAAATTTAATATCAAACTTTTAATGATGAAAGGAAGTTAAATAAATAAATCTAATAATTAATTAATTATAATGATAGATGAAGAGGCGAAATAATATAAGTAGAAATTTGTTCTGGTACTCTTAAAAAACTAAAGCATTAAACATGATTGATCCAATTGTAAGAAGGTAGTTTTATTTAAACCATAAATCGCTATCAAATAATATTTTGTTTAAACAGGAGATGAAAAGATTTAATATTTATTATGTGAAGGTGATCTTAAAAATAATATGCATATAGGAAAATGGATATCTATATTGATGATGTAGGTGGATAATTTAGAGTAAAATAATACTAAATAGTTCACTAAATTATTCAAAAATGATGAAAAAACATTGTAAATGTTAAGAACTAAATGAAGTTTTATTGAAAGTAAGCTTAATTAAATAACCTCATTGTATAAAGAAGTTAAGTATGAGAATGGCTAAAGTATAGGCAATTGGAATAATTTTCGTAGGATAACACAACACAATGGATTAATAGATGCATTAGGTTTGCGATGATTGTCAGATAAAAAATTTTTAGATAAATCTTAAATAATATATATGGGGAATATCAAAATGGAAAAAAAGGTTGCTAATTTACATATGAGGTATAAAGGAGTAGAAATGTAATTTTAATATATGAAACTTAAGAGGTGAGTTTAAAAGAAGTAAGAAAAAAATGAATAAATTATTGATAAATTATATATTTTTAGTTATTAAAATCATTAATAGATTATATTTTAATTTTTCTATTCATTTTCTAAATCCAATCTATTGATTAGAGGTCTAAATTTGATAATAAGTAACAAA